AAAAAGCATCAGTAATAATTATGAAAATTTTTAGAAGTGTCCGATCACTCCGTAGAGGGTTTCTGTGATTTAAATCTTTACGTTAGAATAGACTATGGAACCATGTTCACTTAGTTCTCCCAAACGAGGAGGAATTTAGAGACAATTCAAGTGGAGCTGAGGTCTGCGTAGAGTCTACTTTGCTCTGGTTCATTTTTGGAGTTGGCTCTTTTTTCCAACTAGTGTTCTTAAAAAGAGGGGGAGTTAAGTCTACTTGACTCTTTTTTCATTATAGTCATAAAAATACAAGTTGAGTTATCTCCTTTTGCCAATTTTTTTAATAGAGCCATGTGGACTTTGGCAGAGTTATCTCCATTTTCCAATGAAATTTGGACCGTAACTGGGGTTAAGTTGAGTTGTTCCCTTTTTCCATGTGGATTTTCTCCTAAACTGCTAGGAATTGAGTCAAATAATTTGGTGTAGTGATGTTAACCGTTCTGAGGCACAATAATACATAAAAAAGTCAATTTGGGGATAAGTCAAGTTATTCCCCTCTTCCGCTTCCTGGATCAATTAGTAATTGCTAAGTAAAACTGACAAGAAATACTAAGTATTATGGTTGCTTACAGAAATGCGTCTGCTAATGAGAAATAGTCAGTAAACGGCTGAGAGTGTGCTTGTCCACCGTCGGTTACTTCTATAGAGTTGCTTCATCTACAAATAACACGATCTTGACCCTTGTAACTTTTAAACTTGTCGAGGCTGGGGGGAAATAGGATCCATTTAGTCCAAGATTCGAATCCGTTCCAGTCAAGGACGTTCATTAAGGTTTCATGCGATTTTAGGGCTGACAAAATAACGTTCATTTCAACCTCAACCGGGATTCGAGTCACGTTAGAGTAAGATGCGGACAAAATTGACGAGTGTTGAAGATGTAGGGGACAGGACCTTTATACTCTGCAAACTCAACAGTGTGCCCGGCACACTCTGTTTAGCGGGTACTCACAAGCACTCTGCAAACTCAACAGTGTACTCAGTACACTTTCTTCGGCGTGTGGTCACGAGCACGCTCCCACGAGCGTGTAGGGTCAGTTAGGGTAATAATGAGACAGTTTGAACAATAAGGTTTCCACATCTCTGCAATGGCGAGTTGGAGTGTTTCTAATGCTTTTAAAGGATAGTGTACTCTGTTCCACACCATTTGGCGTCAAATTAAGATCAAAAAGTCATTGAAGTTTGCAGTTGTGTGAAATAAACTATGAAAATTCGGACTTGTATGTTCGGGGTAAGAATGGGACACGCTGGGATAAAAATGGGACAGGGGCTTAGCAGTGGTAAAACAGGCCTCAAAGTTTTCCAAATAGACACCACTTTATAAAATTCGATCCGTCTCAACACGAGGAACAATAAATGTCATCACATGCCACAGGTTCGGTTGAAAAATGAAAAGGCATTGCGCTTCGAAAGAACTTGGGTGCAATTTGACCTTTTGCGACTATTCGTTAATTTCAAAGCCCATTAACTTTTTAAATATCCGTCCAAACCCATAGCATGTGTCGACATTTTTTGTTTGTATTGTCAAGGCCAATCTATTTCCGTTCAGAGATGTCAATTCGAACATCTTTGAAAATTTTCTCCCCAAAGGCCACAATTTGCCATTAACCAAGTGTCCCATTTTTACCCCAGGAGTGTCCCATTCTTCCCCTATGTGGTGTCCCATTTTTACCCCCGGAAAATTCTACAATTGCAAGTAAACGAATGCATTAATGTCAAAATGAGTTGGTGGATCGAAATCCTCGTTCTTTTAGCTTTCCAAACCACTATAATACTTCACTTTTCTGTTTATGGCGGGTTCTGTAGTGTTCTAATTAGATGACCCCTGCGGCAAATTTTTCCAATCTTTAGAATACCCATAAATGCCATGTTCTGCTTGATTTTTAATTCCCATTTCTATGAGCAGTCATTGACGCGCCGTATGAAAAATGGAATACTAGACACCTCAATGAACATTTTAAGCACAAACATGTCATTGTAGGACGTTTTTAAAATGCCAGAACTCGTCAAGATTAGAAAGTGTCCCATTTCCCCCCAAGTTTTCAGTGTCCCATTAATACCCCAACTGACCCTACTCAACTGCATATATTTCCAGGATCTGAGCACGCTCTCGTTAGAGTGTACTCATCTAAGTACACTCTCGTTGGAGTGTGCTTGTGAGTATACACTAAACAGAGTTTGCGGAGCACACTGTGGAGTTTGCAGAGTACACTTCGACAAGAGTGTACTCAGATGAGTACACTCTGACGAGAGCGTGCTCAGATCCTGGAAATATATGCTGTTGAGCACACTCGTGGGAGTGTGCTCGTGAGCACACGCTGAAGAAAGTGTACTAGTCAGTACACGCTGAAGAGAATGTACTTAGTACACTGTTGAGTTTGCAGAGTAGCCACTTTTTTGCAGGAGAGAGAAAGGAGGATTTGTAATCGCGACTGTCAATTGATCCAGGAAGCGGAAGAAGGGAATAACTTGACTTATCCCCAAATTGAGTTTGTATTTTAATATTGTGCCTTAGAATGGTTTCCATCATTACCCCAAAATTATTGACTGAATTCCAAGCGGTTTGGGAGAAAATCCACATGGAAAAGGGTATAACTCAATTAACCCCTTTTACGGTCTAAATTTCATTGGAAAATGGAGATAACTCAACGGAAGTCCACATGAGTCCGTTTGACAAATTGGCAAAAGGATAAACTCAACTTGTATTTTTATAATCTTGTTAAAAAGTTTCAACTCAACTTACCCCCCCCCCCTTAATTTAAATTTAAATTTTGGGAAAAAAAGAGCTAAGTCCAAAAAATACACCAGAGAACATAACTTTATGCAGACTATTGTTCCACTTGACTTGTCCCCAAAACCTCTTTGTTTAGGAAATATAAGGTGAGCTGACTCTTTTTTCCATTTCAACGGAAAGCGTAATTTGCAGAAATCCTCTACGGAGTGCCCTTTACACTTTTTTTTTTTTTTCCAAAATTTACTAATGTTTTTTTCAAATTAAACATGTGAACATTCATTTGTTTTGTTTTAGTTTTCCCTCCTAACAGTTTTTGGTTTCTCCTGGAAAATGGCCAAAATTGAGTTATCCCCTTCTTCCGCTTCCTGGATCAATTACAGGTAAAGGCAGTAAAGGCAACGTGAAGTAAATGTTGTTCAAAATCTACTTTTTAATATTTAATAAAGCACGTCATTTGTTTAGCATGGAACATTTCTGTTAACACAACCTTACGTTAATAAAAGAGGACGCAAGGAGTCTAGGGATTAACTTATATTTCTTCTCTGCAGGAGGCGTACTTCCACCCAAATGTGACCTTGGACGTTCAAATGAAATTACCTGCCATGTTCTATGGAAAGTTTCGCACAGACTTGGTATTCGTGGAACGCAAAACTAAGGAAATCGGGGCTTGTGTACGAGCTGCAGTCAGAATAGTCCCTAAGACCAACTCGAATTGAGAAGAAATGAGACACACGGCACATCTTAACGGCTGCTGCGACTTAGGTAACCAATTAAAGCGAGCTAAAGTCGTGCCGAGCCATCTTGTACTGGCGCAGATACGCACGCACACATGCAGAGGCAAAGTGTTCGAATCCCACTCGGGTGACAGACTCGAGGTAACTTGGGAAAGAATAACTCGGACAGACTCACGATTTATGTTTTCTTAACCCACTGATTTCGGGATCTCAGGTGACATGGAAAAGAATTACCCAGACAGACTCACGACCAATGGTTTCTTAACCCGCTATCACGGGCTGGGCTTCGGTATCGGTCAGCCTTTTATAGGGGGCAATTTGTTACGCAGTGCATAGCTACAATTGATCACATGCGATTAATAAGTATCTAGGTAAAACCCTGGTTTATTGCAGGCCGCAATGCCTCGGATTTGTTGTTAAATTCCAATCCTAATGCGAGTAAAGACATCAAAGCATCTTTGAACGTTCCACTTATCTGCAGAAATAATATTGCAGTATCCGTCAATGCGAGCACAACCTGCAATTTAATTTAAAAAAAAAAGAAACAATGGATGTCATTACTTCACACTGCTAATGCAAGTGTTGGGCAACACTCTTGCTGGCGTTGGACATGACTGGTCGACAGTTTCAATTATGGGACATACACACCTGCAAGTTTGTGCTTGGATCTACACTTGGATTGACACTGCAGATAGTAATCGTAAATTGGGCAACACTAATGGGCAGTATCAGGTGCCAATTTGAGATTTGACAAAGCCTGGGACGACATGAGAAATAACCATGTTGGGGCCACGTTTGGCTGAGCGTGTCCGTGCGGACATAATACAAATCTAATTCTCAACGCTACGACATAAATCTATCATAGCTGATAAATTTCTTCGCAATTTGGACAAATTGGTCATAAGTTACTGAGAACCCTTCACCATGGACTACAGCTTCGCTGTGCCGTCATAGTGCTAAGATTTTGGTTCGTTACAAAGAGCAAGCTCAGTAGAATCATTGGAGTGCACTGGACGCTTTTTTACTGTCTTCAAAGCTACACTGTGCGAAAAAACCACAGTGAATCCCGTTAATTTTTTTGCCGGGATTTACTGAAGTTCAGAACACAGGATTTACCGTGCCTGGCTGCAGTATCTACTGTACCCGGTACAGGAACCGTATCCCCTCCTGTGGTACAGTAAATCCCGTACAAAGTACAGTAGATCCTGTTAAAAAAGTACAGTAAATCCTGTACTCTGAACTACAGTGACAGCTGCACTAATCACTACAGGATTTACTGTGATTTTTTCCCACAGTGTAGCGGGCGAACTGCAAGAGCTACAACGGGAAGATTTTGTGCTAACATTCCAGAATCATGTGGGTTTGGCGAAAATAAGATAAAAATATCTGGGATTTTACTTGGGTCCCATTATTATTTGTTAATGAGCGACAAATATCTTCTTAAAGGAAGGAACCGCGTCCACCGAGGGACAGCGGTAAAAACCGGTTACAAAACGTACCACTATGAGGCTGCTGAGGCGTGAAGTCATCAGTCCAGATAGATTAACCCGAATCGGACGTCGAGTTACAGCTGCAGCAAAACGTTCTAGCTGTGAGCAGAAAAAAGAATACGTAAAGGGCATAGGACAATTAATATAGTTGGGAGCATCTTTAATTGATCCAGGAAGCGGAAGAAGGGAATAACTTGACTTATCCCCAAATTGAGTTTTTATTTTATTATTGTGCCTTAGAATGGTTTACATCATTACACCAAATTATTTGACTGAATTCCAAGCAGTTTTGGAGAAAATCCACTTGGAAAAAAAGGGGGTAACTCAACTTAACCCCTTTTACAGTCTAAATTTCATTGGAAAATGGAGATAACTCAACTTTAGTCTACATGAGTCCGTTTGACAAATTGGCAAAAGGATATAACTCAACTTGTGTTTTTATGAATCTAGTGTAAAAAGAATCAACTCAACTTAACCCCCCTAAATTTTAAATTTCAATTTGGAAAAAAGAGCTAAGTCCAAAAAATACACCAGAGTAACATACACTCTATGCAGACTATTGTTCCACTTGACTTGTCTCCAAATTCCTCTTTGTTTAGGAAATATAAGGTGAGCTGACTCTGTTTTCCATTTCAACGGAAAGTGATAAGTCGCAGAAATCCTCTACGGAGTGACCTTACACTTTTGATTTTTTTCCAAAATTTTACTAATGCTTTTTGAAATTATTAACATGTGCAACATTCATTTGTTTTGTTTTAGTTTTCCCTGCTAACAGTTTTTTGTTTCTCCTGAAAAATGGCCAAAATTGAGTTATCCCCTTCTTCCGCTTCCTGGATCAATTCTGACTGCTCTTTTTATCTTGTTTGTTAGATCATGAGGATAATGTACAATTCGTGGCTGGTGATCCAGATGAATAAACTTTTTCTAAGAGGGTCTTTAGTGAAAAGTTAACGTGCAGTTTTTTATGGGACATTCTCTAGAAAAGTTTCGGTTTAGTGTCCCTGTCACCTTGCGGCCACACGGTTCGCCCCAGAGGGATCACGTGATATGGTTAACTACCATTGAGTTTGAGGATTTCTGAGAAGGGGGAGTTGTGTCCGTGGCTCGAAAATAGAGGTTTTTGGGCAATCAATCGCGTAAGTTTAATTATTACTCGGAAACCTATTTTTCCTCAATAAAGAACCTGTACGGGCAGCAGCTAACCTGTTACCTGGCCTATGTGCGCCTCTGAAATTTGAGGTACGTTCCAAAGAGAATGAATGCGTTTCACCGTGGCGGTACCCTGGAAGAGAAAAAAAAACGCTGCTTGAGATTTAAATTCATGAGGTCAAAAATCAACTGTGGGTCTCGAACAAATTGTGGACCGGTTTTTTTTTTCGACGGGTAACTCCAGATCCGTCGGAGACTGAATCAATTTGAATTTCGCAGTAGACCTTCCCCCAACCTTTTTTGGTCTCCTTAAATGATCCATGAAGCGGAAGAAGGGGATAACTCAATTCTCATCATTTTTCAGGAGAAACAAAAAACTGTTGGCAGGGTCAACTTAATCCAATCAGATGAATGATGCAATTGCATTTTTGTCAAGAAAGTCTAAGAAATTACTATGAAAATTTTCAAAAGAGTGGCATTACTCTGTAGTCGCTTTCTGTGATTTAAATCTTTACGTTGGAATGGACTACGGTACCATGTTTACTTTACACTACAAACCTAACTGTCTACTTAGCACACGCTTACAAATGCATGCTTGCAAGTACACACTAACAAACGCATGCTTGGCCAAGCATGCACTTACAAATGCATGCTTGGCAAGTACACACTACAAACGCCTCTGCTTAGCATGGAGTTATACGGCGCCAAGCATGCGTTTTTAAGTGTGTACTTGCAAGCATGCATTTGTAAGTGCGTGCCAAGTAGACAGTTAGGTTTGCGGTGTAGTTCTCTCAAACAAGGCGGAATTCGGAAGCAATTCAAGTGGAGCTGAGGTCTGCGTAGAGTCTGTATTTCTGTGGTACATTTTTTGAGTTACCTCTTTTTGACACTGTGAACCTTGAATACCATTTTGAAGTGTTTGTAAATAAAAACAGCCACTACTCACTTTATCGGTTACGCGATCAACTCGAAGAAGAAACCACACCAAAAATAAGGGCTGCGACAATGATGTTACCATAAAAGTATAGTGTAGGCAACGATACCAATAAGATCGTAAGACAGGTACGGTTAAATGCAAAGCTACAAGGACCGGCCCTGCGTACATGAGCAGGATAGAGTAAATGAGCTCATAGAGTACTATGAAAGCCACTTGTTTGCCGAAACAGACGCACACCATTCCCAACGCGTCCGTCGTAGCCGAGTGCAGCATCCGCGCCTGACGAACAAATATAAAATACATTTAATGCGATGGAAAACAAGCGAATAGGGTATTCCAACGCCCTCCCAGAGCGGAAGTGAGAAGAAAGACAACAGCAGTCAAAAATGGCAGTTAATATGCGAAATCTACGCGGCGGATGAACTTCGCAGCGTAGATTTCTCATCAAAACTGCCATCTCTCACTTCCGTTCTGGAAGAGCATTGGAATACCCTATTGGAAGCGGATGAATTCTTTTTTTGTGTAATTGCCGATGCTTTGTGTTTGTTGACGAGATTTGCAGCACACTAAGTCGTTTTCTGAGTCAATTTTGTTTCGTTTTAAATGCTGCAGATATAAATCCCTGAATGGGCCTTAATATACAGGTAATCAAAACTTCTAGAAATCATCACAGTGAAGAAGGTAAAGTTCTTCGGCCGGAGCTTTGAAAACACGTGTAATAAAAACCGTAATATTAATCATTTTCTGCATCGTTTACCCCAGATGGCAGGCGAAAAACAATAACCCCTTTGGGAATCGTAGGGTGGTTTGCATCGAAACGTACATCTCTTGTCCCTCTCTTTTCTTGACTCCGTACAGCCACGGAAGAGGTCTTTTGACTCCGGTTAAAATGCTCTTAGACTGCCACACGACTTCCAAATGGTGGTTGGATCTCCTTTTTTCGGAATAAAGGGAGTGGGTCTAAAACTGGTGGGTTAAATTGACGTGGGCATTTTTTTTGCGGTGGGAGAAAGACTTTGGGTGAAATGTCGTGGATCCACTCCATACATTCTGGTCGGTTCGCATTTTGGTCACAATCCTTACGACTCTCACCTCTTCCACTTGTGTCCCCACGTCGGAACCTCTCTCCATCTGATCCTTGACCACTTTAAGCTTTCGATTTACGTGATCATAGCGATTTGATAGAGTATCTATCGCGTACATCAACATTGCCTGCTCTGTTCCGAGCACCAACGCCTATGTAAAAGAACATAAGATTGAATTTGAATTTAAGGTTCAAACCTGGCATTGGTGTAAATTTCGTCAGGATTTCACACACTCAGCACGCTACTGACTTTTTCCTCATTAATTACGCATTCGTATAAGCAACTGTAATACTTAGTATTTTCTAAGTATATATGACTAATTTCCTTTCTAATTCTAAAATTATGTATAAAACCAAATTGTCTGTACATTATTTAATATCTCCTAAGTAGTTCTTTATAAAGAAAGGAAAAGTACGTATTATGGTTGCACAAATTACTTGCATAAGTACTGACAAAATGGGCAAAAAAGTCAATAACGTGCTGAGAGTGCAATAAGAAAACACAGTTTTGATGGGTAAGGCAATGGGGCACATACAAATACGCCTTTTTTGTGGGAGGGGGGCGAAAAATTGAATCAGAAGTCCGATTGTTGCTCGCGATCAGACCTCGATTTGCTCGTAAATATGATCCGATGTGGGTGAAATGCAATTGGCCGTGGTCAATTTGAAACCGATCCTGAAAACTTTCAATTTATTGCACCTCTGTATTTTGACACCATAGGAGTTCTCTGATGTTCGTGTCTGATTTCTGAGCGGCAATCAGAAATCAGAAAACCAATCGGAAAAGTTCTGAATCAGAATTCAGGAAAGACGTTAGGAAAGTTCTGATTGTCAATCAGAAATAAGTAAACCCTATCAGAAAAGATCTGATTGCCAATCAAAAATCGTGAAATCTCTGTTCGGCAGTGTGACTTATGAAATCAGGAATTTTATGATGTCAGTACTCAATGCAGGCTCGGTTTGAAAGAGGGGGGCGGACCCCCCCAGTGAGATTCCGTAAACGCCTGATTGGATGCAACGAGCATCACATGCCCCTGTAGATAAGTAAAAAATAGACAAGGTAGGTTTACGCCAGACCGCGCGTCTTGTCGTAACAGGCTCCGCGATGTCTCGCTGCCTGTTCCTCAAATCCGCGCCTGGCGTACCTATCTTGGCCTGCGGCGCTAGCCTGCCTTCGGCAGGCAATGGCTCGTCCGTTATTCCATCCCAAACCAACGAACGCTTGGAATTTCATCTCTCCGATTTTGATGAAACCTTTTTTGGGGGTAGGGGTCATCATAAAAAGACCTCCTGCCAAAGGGTTTTGCGATATCTCACCCCGTTTGGCTGTGGCAGGATATCAAAGTTTTAGCTTTAGTCTATGGTTAGTCTATGGTTTATTTGGTACTTTAATAATATTAACTTTAGCTAGAACATTTTCAAGCTGCACAGGCTCTTCAATATTGTTCGTTAGATAGTAATAGATGGAACCTGAAAACAAGATTTTAACAGTAGGAAAATCCAGTGGTAAAATAATAAATTTCAATTATAATAGTTTTGTTCCACCAAATAAACTATATTGTATGCTATCTAGCACAGACAAGATCAGAGTAAGATGGCAACTTCTAGTAATCAACTCGAAAAAATTGAAAAAATGAGTTGTTTTTTTTCATTGCGTACAAAATTAAAATTGAGTAAATAAGGGTATTTACCGTTATCTAATTTTACTCTCCCCCTTTTTCCGCCTCTACAACATGAATTGTTCACCATTTAACAGAAGAACATAGACTTGTACACACGATTGATTGTGGTCTAGCTTTTAAGTGAAGTTCAGTCAACTCATGTGTGGTCTAGCCCTCAGTGGTAATGGTAATGGAAGGTAGGCAACCCAACGCACGCACATGCGCCTCTGGCCTGCGGGTTGCTATCGAGCTTCACAGGCGCTCCTGGCGGGTGGTTTTCCTTCGCACGCCGAGCGGGGAAGTCGATGTTGACCAGAACAGACGGCTGCGCAGCGCAGGCAAGAACCCACACCACCACCACCACCTAAATACACGATTTTGGTGATTTTACAAATTGGTTTTGCGATTTCTCAGATCCTATGGGCGGCCGACCAAACCTTTAGGGTTTTGTTCCACTTGCTAGGAGATCATTTGGTAAAAGTAGGTCGAAATCGAAGATGAGCTATTTTGGGAATGGCAATTTTTCGAAAAAATATGACGAAAAATGAAAATTTTGGCATCAAAACTTCACCCAATCGTCTCGAAACCGTTTTCATCGCGTTCCCCAGCTCTCTTACGTAAAAAACACTATGGAAAAAAATCCAAAAATCAGCCAGAAAAGAGGAAATTTAAGAAAATATCATGATTTGACTAAGGCTAAACTTGATTTTGTCACAGCCAAACGGGGTGAGATATCGCAAAACCCTTTGGCAGGGGGTCTTTTTATGATGACCCCTACCCCAAAATAAGTTTCATCAAAATCGGAGAGATGAAATTCCAAGCGTTCGTTGGTTTGGCATGGAATCGCCCTCGTCCGTTATCGGTAATTTTTTTAACTTGTTGCATGCTGGGGGGCTCCGGCCCCCAGACCCCCCTACATTCTAGACAGAGATGCTTCATCTACAGATAACACGATCTTGACCCTTGCAACTTTTTAAATTGTCGAGGCTGGGGGGCTCCTTCCCCCAGACCCCCCTTTCTCCGAGACAGGAGTGATCTATCTGCAGAAAACTCGATTTTTCGCCGCTTTTTAGGTGTTTTTCAACTATAAAAACTGAACCAGTTGAGCTAGGATTGTGAAATTTCGCGTGTGACGAGCCAAGGACATACCTAAAAAGTGTGCAAAATCTCACCAAAATCGGTCGAGCCGTTCAGGAGGAGTAGTGCGGACACGCACACACACACGCACGCACGCACGCAGACAGGAAAAACTTTTCAACCCCACCTGAGTAACTGGCTTCGCTATCGCTCAGCCAACAATCAATCGCTCTCCCTGTCGGGGCCTCCTTAAACCGCACCTGACTCCATCAGTATTTTTCTGATTGACAATCAGGATTTTTCTGATCGACAATCGGAAATAATTCCTGATAAACAATGGGAAATCAGAAATCCAAACAGAAAATCCTGATGGGATTAAACTTGTGGGCGCTTGTGGGGCTAGACCAGGAATTTCGGCATGGATATCTCCCGGCCGGTCGGTGGGCCTCTCGGAACCCCCGGCTGCCTGACGCTCCCATGGCGCGGGGACCAAACACAGGGGGAAACCTTTCGTCATTTCAATCTGTCACACAATATGCAGAGGGGTGAATCCCAATTTCTGACTCCCTCTCCTTTTTTTCTTGGCAAAATGGGGGCTCAAGGCCACTAGATGACCACAAACATGTCGCATTTGAACGGGATTTTTTTAAATCGGCCTCAGCGTGTAGTCCGATATTAGTACACGACCAACGACGTTACCCTCCTTTTTTTGGGTCAAAGGTAAGCTTTGCAGTGTAGACCCAAGCCAAAAACGGCGGTTAGAAATAGGGTATTCCAATGTTCTTCCAGAACGGAAGTGATAGATGGCAGTTTTGATGAGAAATTTACGCGGCCAAGTTCATCCGCCGCGTAGATTTCGCATATTAACTGCCATTTTTGACTGCTGTTGTCGTTCTTCTCGCTTCCGTTCTGGGAGGGCGTTGGAATACCCTATTACGAGGCACCGTACTACTTACGTGCAAGCGAAGCAAGCATGTCCAAATATCTACATGCAGTATCCCTTCCATTTCGTTCAAAAGGGAGGTACAGAAGCGGAGCCAGGAGAGTACTATGAAAAGTAGAGTGTGCCTTGACATCTTTGCTGCAGCTACGGTGGAAAGAACTTGACGGAAAGTGAGGAGCTTGATCTCCATCCGCCGTCCGAAAGGAAAGGAAGTCAGGTAGCATGCGACGACATACGCCACGCTGGACGCCCACTCTAAAATTCTCAGAGCTGTTAGCTTCTCCACATCAGCAGATATAAAAGCAAAGAACAGCAGAGCAGAGGTAAATCTCGTTAATAGGCTTAAACCAGATACAGCAATGTTGAACACCAAACTGTACCTGGAACGGATATGAAAGAAAAGAAAGACTATGAAACAGGGTAGACGGACAGGCTTTCAACTTTTTTGCAATCAGAAAAGTGCAGCTTTAAGAGCACAAAATTTCCCAGAA